AACCAAAACCCCAAAACCCCAAAACCCCATGGAGAGAAATAGTAACTATAATGAATAAGTTAGAAATTGAAACTTTAATACAGTAATATATTATTAGTGAAAATTTTAACAACACTTCAATAAGCTTAGCCACCTTAAAATAAATTTCTAATAAATCTAATTAATTTACATTAATATAAAAACATGGATCCATACGGTCTATCTTATTCATATTCTCAGCCATAGATTTAAACTATCCTGCCTACTGTGTCTCCAATGAAAATAAACTCTAGCAGGAATGAAAACTACAGAATTAATGATTAAAACTCCACATACTATAAAGTAAATAAAACTTAATATAGTGTATAGTATCAATCTTAATCTGGTCTTCCAAAACTCAGCAATCATCCAGCCAATCTAGATAATTAGCAGAGGGGAGGAATAAAAGATTAAATGGGTAGTATATTAAGAGGACAAAGCACTGGAAATACTGGAAATAGCTTCACAAGCAATAGTATTTAGGACTAGGAAATTATTTAGAAGAATGGCAAAAGAGTACACTCGAAAGACTGGGTTTAAAGGGAGCTGTTTGGTGAGATTCATTGGAAGCCTCATCGTAAGCAAGTATCAGCTATTGCTCATGAGGATGACCCAGTTGTTGGAGTAAAGAAAATTGTATCAGATTTAACAATAGTCAAGCCAAGAATAGAGAGAATACCAAATGTTACCAAATCTGGATTAGAATCTATATAATAATCTCAAAGTAGCAGTGGTTTAAATCAGTCAAACTCTTCATTGATAGACATGCTATAAAAGAAATACTTAAAGAAATACAATGGAGTAAAGTATCAGATTGAGGAACAAAAAAGAAAGGATAAAATAGAGGAGCAGAGAGCCAGGAAGAGCTACGATTTCGTAATAAATAATAGTCATGAAAGAGTTAATAAACTTTGAATAAGTTCATCACTGATTTTCTTTATCAGTAAATGTTCGAAATAAAAAACCCTTCTAATAATAACCCATTTTAGAGCACTTAATTCTTAATTACTAATAAAGCAATCATTTATTTTCTGCCTCGAAACTTTTTGCTTTATTAAGTTTTAGGGGTTTTGGGGTTTTGGGGTTTTGGGG